GTACTCGTGATGACCGTAATGATTATACCGTGTTGGTATTAGCCGAAGACCTCGTCGCGGAGTCGGTAGTTCTTTTAGGTTTGCTTTAACCAGCTTCGCTCTTTTATTCTGCCAGAAATGCTTAATTAACGTAATTGAATAAAAGTTGCTGATATCAAGCATGGCTCACGTAATTTTCTTGATACTTCGTGTTAAAACAACGTTGATATAAGAAGATATTAGGCTGTTTAAAAAATCACTGGAAAATATAGATATTGATAAGAAAATAAAAAGTCAAGTACCTATAAAATCCGTTTATTGCTTTCTGTTTTAAAATGTTGTTGATAACCTTTGATCTCAGTAACCATGTATCTAAAAAATTCAAGCAGTCTGTTATGCATTCGTATAGTATGTACAGGATAAATCAATAAGAGTAGTTACATAAAATAATTGATTATTCTAATATTTCATTAAACGATATTGTATATGAATTTTCTATTTGGTGGAGCTTCAATTAATGTATTCCTACGTTGTAATAAATAGCAACATATTTATGTAAGATTATTTTTAATGGAATCACTAAATTTTGTTATTTTAAATTAAAATTCTCATTGATTTACGTATAAACAATAATAAATATTGCTGTAGCAACAACAAATTGCTATTGAAAATTGAATTTTAACTAGTCTTTTATAGAAATGGTACCAGTATTGCGCGATCCTTAGGCGTGAAGACGAACGAGCCTCGGTTCGTCGTAAATATTCCGCGAATTGATATTCATGAAGAACGCGCGGAGCATCGAGCCGAGCCGCGCATACAATTTGATTCTTTATTATATAATAAACCGACGACGAAGCCGAGCACGTCTTACGTTTGCGCGAGGAAAACAAGTTAGCGTGCATGATAAAAAAAGGAATCCGTGAATTTATTTGCCAGTCGACCTCCCCTCGATCGACGATGCGATATAAAATTGCTCAGGTGACTGACCCAAGGCTGAGCGGTCCGGCATCAGGCGCAAGGTCATCTGTAATTACCTGCAACTCGATACGTTTCGCTCGTTTAAATCGGTGCTATCGTTTTTCCGTTTCGAATTAAATCGCAGCATTTGTATAGAGTTAAGGGTTTCCCGTCATTCAATCCACGACCGCCATTCACATTTCATTTCAAATAATTAATGCATATTTTTCGATTATTCAATTTGTCTTATATTGTAATAAATTCAAGGTCGTGGTTTGACGAAAGGTGAGATTAGGCAGAGGGAAGGAACTAGCATAGGAANTCTGTCCTAGTTGTATCATTTTTTAACCTTGTCTGTATCACATAATTCTCTACCTCTAATCCTGATATTTCTGCAGTTACAATTCCTAATCTTCACGACTCAAAGCCGGAACCTACATATATTTTTCCCCGCTTTCCCTCAATTTCGTGTATTTCGTTTTCGAACTTCTTCACTCTCTCAGAATAAAATTGTACTCTATTGTCAGAAGACTTCTTTGTCCTCGTGTTACCGCATGAGCTCTACTATTCTTAATAAAGAACGAGTTAACGAAAGAGATTAGAGATCAGTACATTAACAAAGTATTTAGAGTTAAAAGAAAACGAGGGACAGTACATAGTTTCAGGCTTAAAGTTACGCTTTCGACTTCCAAGAAAAAGAGAATTGGAAGGGAACAAAGGAACACAACGAAGTCGCAAAATTTCATTCTACGTAATTTCCTTGGAAGTTAGGCCGCATCCGGTCACATTTTCACCGAAAGAAAGCGGCGAAACAGCTGGCTCCATGGCTCACGTTGCACCGGAAGCAACGATTCCCCTGATCTTACATAAGTACCGGTGCAGCTTGCGCCAATGATTCCACCGGCCTCCGCGTTACGCAATCATCGAGTCACGTCGTCGTCGTTCGAAATTCAATTTACCGTGTCCATTCGAGTCGCCGATTAATTCTTAACCCTCCTCCTCGAATTAAACAACGATCATTCGATTTCTTATGTATAGAGTATAATGACAGATGTAGTGACAAGAGTAGATGACAGTACGCGATATTAACAGATTAATCAGATTGAATAGAATATTATACTAGAAACCTGTTAAGTTTCTTTCAGGAATATATAAACATAATTTTAATTATAGTGTACGTACACGTACTGATAATTTTGATTAATCTGTTGTTCATATTTAATTTTCTCATTATAACAGTGTTAACATTTATTTCCGAAAAGGAGTATGAATGCTGTTTAAAAATATTCTTAACCCTTTCAAAATTATTTTACAAAACTTGGTCAAAATGTCCCACATTTTTTGCCCTCTGTCCCTAGTCGTCCAGACGCTGTCTTTCTGGGTTTTCTACGAGGAAAACCTGGTGATTCAGTATCAGGGCCAGCGCCTGGATATTTGAGATGCTTTTTCTCTATCGAATGACCCTTGTTTTCCTTATAGTATTTAGTTAGTGATCAAGTAAGGACATCTTAACACGACTTAAGGTTGTCACATAGAGTTGCATCAGAAAGACGAACTATATCATATTTACTCGTCACTTTCACTGCATTCAAATTATTAAAGATGTTTTTCATTATTGTTTTCAGGTGCTGTATAAGGTATTATCGTCCGGACATCGTCGCAACAATGCACCGTCCCGAGCTCCCTACAACCTGACGGAGGGTACGCCGAAAACGAGGAGTCGGCACCAATTGATGAATCTTAAAAGGAATCGTTGGGCACCCATGAACGCTTCCGACTGCGAAGACAACAGCAGTGGTGGGGAGGAAGAATTTACACAGGTGAGCATTTTAAAATAATTTTTAAATACGAATTGCGATGATTTTAGGATTTACAATGAAAATAAAAAATGTACTCGTAATTTCTGTTATAATTTTCGAGAGTTCATATTGAAAGATAGGATTTAAAGGAAACCTTATGGTAAATGTATAGATGCAGGTCATGAGAGGACTTTTATTCGACAAGATTTATCATTTTTTAATACTTTTATTCGACAAGATTTCTCACACGTGTAGTTTAGGATAGGTAAATTCAGGATATCTGCCCTTGAGTTTCACGATAACAACTTCTTTTTCTAAGTAATTTCTAAGTATAATTCGTAGAATTCCACATTTTATCATTTCAAGTGATTAAATGTATAGAAATAGAAATACCATTAGTATTAATACCACAGTATGATTATCAGTTACATTTCTCGCGAATTCTCAAGTTCAACAAAGGTTGCAATGTTAACAAAATACTGTTATTATACCACGTGAGTTATCCTTGTTACCTAATATTATTCCTCGTGTTTGATTAACTTTTTAGATTGTAAAATAGACTATAGATATGCAGGTTATAGACAAATAAATTTGAAGAGTAAACAGCAAAATTGCAACTTCTATTCCTCCGGTAACCTTCCATTTATATAATGCTGCTCGCTTAGAGTTAGAGTTAGAGGTTGCATTCCTTTAATACAGAGTAGATACCTACTCGCTCGTTGCAACTATGATAACCGAGTGACTATTTTAAAGGTGATATCATCATTCAGACTTAGTTTCACACCTCCAACTTGCAATCGATTTATTAAAATGTTTCAACAGTATCAATTAGGATTTCCGCAGAATTGTATAAAAATATAATTCTTGCCTTTGATTAATTATAATCATGTCAAGTCTGAACAAATAGTTCTTTGAAAGTTTATAATATACAATGTAAATTATTGAGAAACATCAGAAACAATGAAAATATAGTTTAATTGATTTTCTCATCTAGAAAGATATAATTTATTAAAATACAAGAATGGAATCATTCAACAAATTGCATGCAATTAGTTCATACAAAATCATCAAATAATTGTTGCAAACTTTCGAACTTATTATTTTTATTGCGTCACCCTCTTTGGACGACAAATCAATAGACTAATTATGCTGAATACCGGGGGAATCTAAGAAAGTTGCTCTAAAGATTAAAGTACGGCTTCATTTTATCAAACAGTAATTGCTACGGGAACAGTAATCGATATCTTGCGGCCTCCATTGCTCTTAGCGCAGGCCAATTAATCTCACCTATCTATTTGACTCGATTGTATGGCTGCAGGCCCTTTGCACAGGAAGTACGTAATTAACAATCAATTTGTAATTACTGCAGATTAGCTGGACGAGATTTACGTAAAGCCACTGCATTAAGATACATGTATAGAACATCACATACAGAGTCTAATAGAGAATCATACACGTATGATTCATGTATACATGTGATCTTGTATATGATTGTCTACAAGATTTTGTACAAGATTCTGCATATGTTCGATCCTCTATGATTCTCTTTATTATGATTCTATACATGATTTTCTGTCTGATTTTTAATTCGCTTAAATAGCACTTGATATGAGCAAATAAAAGTGCGTCAAATAAGGGAGAAGTACATATCAGAGAATTAGGTTCCGAAGAGATTCTCGGGTTACGCAACGATCCATTAAAACGTTACGCAATGGCCCGCAGAGGCGACTGGGTTTGTCCCATCGCGCGACTGAAGACGAATTGTATTTCAAAGAAAAGGAGACCCAATCGTGTCAATCGTCATAATTTCAGAATGAAAGTTCACGCTTAATTCAATTATGCTTGTTGATTCTTTGCAGACGGTTAGCAGAAGGCTGGTGTCAACCACGGCGTCGCAAAACAGCAACAAGTTGCAGATCGGCCTAGATCGTCTTTATCAAGACATAGAAAAATTGAAAAGTAAGTATACAGACGCATACTTGTAAAAGCGTGTCGCTAGTGATTACAATCTCAAATAGTTGAGGACAATCTGTTATATAAAAGTGTTCGCGATATCGTTGCTTCGCGAGATTTGATTATATAAGTAATTGATTGAATGAACGATTTTAATTGAATAAATCATACGGATATTAAATATCGCCTGGATCTCTGTGTTAAAAATGTAGTTACAAAATCATTTATAAATTGAAACAAAATAGCTGTTACAATAATTGAGTACATCACAGTGATGCAATATTATAATGTTACACTGTTATAATTATTCACATTTGTTGTTTAATGTTATTCGAATATTTTGAACTAATAAATAATAATCTAATAATCTCTAATATTGACATGCATTGAACATATTTGATTGAGGCTTAATAATAAATTCTAAATTTGTTAATTACTCATGCGATCATGTCTTCTGATGAGAAACAAATTCCAGCCAGGAAAGGTTACCCGATTGCGTTTTATCTGACATTTCGTATTAACATACATATTTACAACGATACGCGTTGCTGAATGCGTCCCATTGATAAATGGATCCTCGAGCTCTTTAAAAATAAAGTTCATTCAACGCTGTCGTGACTCACAAACGCCAGAGGAAATCTTTCTCTCGTTTAATTATTAATTGGCTCTATCGTTATACGTTCCTGATATTAATGAATCGAAAGTGCGTATTATTATTTTAATCAATCGTCTCTTGATCCTTTGAGAAAAATTCAAGTGCAACGAACTTCAGATTAGAATCGTTCTTTAACCCGTTTGCATTGTGCAATTAAACATAATAAAAATTAATAAATGGTATTTTATATTGATGAATCCTGTGTAACTATTTTGATGATACAATGACAATAAATTTTGCACGCACATATACTAATTATTCAAATGAACTAATTGGTTCAAGATGTTAAGTTCGTTTGATTACTATATAAAACTTAGAGATTTATGATACCAAAATTGTAGAATTTTACAAAAAGTTCAAAATTCTTTTTATGATATATTTGATTGAGGCTTAATAATAAATTCTAAATTTGTTAATTACTCATGCGATCATGTCTTCTGATGAGAAACAAATTCCAGCCAGGAAAGGTTACCCGATTGCGTTTTATCTGACATTTCGTATTAACATACATATTTACAACGATACGCGTTGCTGAATGCGTCCCATTGATAAATGGATCCTCGAGCTCTTTAAAAATAAAGTTCATTCAACGCTGTCGTGACTCACAAACGCCAGAGGAAATCTTTCTCTCGTTTAATTATTAATTGGCTCTATCGTTATACGTTCCTGATATTAATGAATCGAAAGTGCGTATTATTATTTTAATCAATCGTCTCTTGATCCTTTGAGAAAAATTCAAGTGCAACGAACTTCAGATTAGAATCGTTCTTTAACCCGTTTGCATTGTGCAATTAAACATAATAAAAATTAATAAATGGTATTTTATATTGATGAATCCTGTGTAACTATTTTGATGATATAATGACAATAAATTTTGCACGCACATATACTAATTATTCAAATGAACTAATTGGTTCAAGATGTTAAGTTCGTTTGATTACTATATAAAACTTAGAGATTTATGATACCAAAATTGTAGAATTTTACAAAAAGTTCAAAATTCTTTTTATGAAGATATCAATGTTTTAAACCTTAATTTAGTTTATCCATTAGAAGTATTATACATAACATTTCGTTAATATTCTCGCAGGACTCGAACCAAGACCCGCGGAAATCCTTCTTCCGCCGCTTTCGGGTGAAACGGCTGCCGAGTTGGATTGTATTCTGTGTTGTCGACTTTTATGGAAACCTGTGACAACACCGTGCGGCCACACGTACTGTTGGATGTGTTTAGATCGCTGCTTGGACTACGCCTCGACCTGTCCTTTATGTGTCACCTCTCTCGCCGATGTAAGTAACTCTTTTATACTTGGACAAACATTCTCTTTACATATCTTTTTTATTGTATACGAAGTTTACGGCTAAGTAATTGCACGTCTTGTACCTGTCAACTTATATTTTATTCGTTTTTTTTACATAAACTCGTAAAATATTGCAAATTGTTTATGACAAGGCTTGACGAATGGAAAAAAGGTTGGCGTAATCCTATCTCGTGATCAAAAAGATTACGCGCGAAGAAACCGATTCTCAGCCGCGTTTGGCTTAGCGGGAGAGCCACGGGACGTGGAACACCTGTCCATAAACGAGACGTAATGCTTCCTAGCCGGTTAACGATGCCGCGAGCCGCGAGATTGAAGAAATGATTATTGTTTTGCGGTCGCCATGGCCGCGGCACACCGTCGCGTTCCTCGAACTTCCGCGTTCGCGTCGTGTCATTATCAATTGTCCCCAGCGTGCGGCATCGTTCTCTACTTAATGACGTTAAATAAATTTTGCGGCTCACAATCCCGTATCCTTCTTTCTCGGCCGTTCTCCTTCTGGCGGTTTCGCGTTACGTTATTACAAAGCGTTAACCGTTATTCACATAGCTTTAGTTCTTTCTACTCTTCTTTCATACTTCAATAAATATTTACTAAATCCATTATTTCCTTTACATAATTAATTAATATTGTGTACTATTTTATTTATGTTACGTTTTGTATAAAAGTGCATAAT